ATATTTTCGAATCTCATTTTTGTCATTATTTTCCTCTTATATCCACAAATCGATTTCGATATGTGGGTTGAATCCTTAGTTACTAATGGATATAATTTTTCTTCACCTTCGTTTCTTTTATATTTTTATTAGAATTATGATCAAATATATATAATACTAAAAACACTAACTATTCATTTATTCTCAATTTTATTGCATAATTAGGAAGCATATAAATCAATCACTGTGACGCATTTTGTCAATTATTCTTACATTTATATGTATTACTGTTTTATATCAAATCAATTAATCGTTACAACGTATACTAAAAGAATAAACCGAGAATTAACGAATAAAACAAACATATAATTTTAAAATAAAGTTATATATGTGGCTAGAAAGAAAATTAGACAATTGTCGCAATTATAATGTCCAGAATAATTTCCTTTGTTTCGGGCTTTCCAACATCATAAGTATAAATCAAGAGATAAAAAAGAAATTATGCCCACTTTAAAGAAAAAAGACTACCTCAAAAACCTATATGGACGTGTCACAAAATCTATTGGAACAAAACTTTTGTTCTTTTGCAGCATAAGCTCAAGAGCGGAGTTAGGATTCAAAATGTTCCCGGGTTAAAGCCACTCAGGCTGAAGTCACCTGAGCTGAACTTGTAAAATGGTAAAACCTGTACAAGCCACCTGTGCATTAATTAAATAAAATTTGTGAAAGCCACCCAAGTTGAAGCCGAGTACAAATACATGTAGCTCTGCCCTTGAGCTCAGAAAAATTCAATTCTACCAATATCACTATATGTTTCATGTCGAGTGAGTGTTGATCTAACGGTTCAAATTTTATTATCGACCAATTAATTCACATTAGAAAGTACTATTGCAAGGACAAATATCATTGGTTCACATTAAAAATTAAATTTGGTAGTGAAATTCACCCGGTTCATATGCGACGATCGACTATTAAGAAGCATGTTTGTGTCATGGTAGGCTTGTAAACGAGCTGAGTCGAGCTCGGCTCGTTAAATAAACGGGCCTGAAATCAAGCTCGAGTTCAGCTAGTTCATCACTATAACGATCCGGGTTCGAACCGATATCAAAGTTTGACGAGTCAAACTATAGAAAATTATATAAAAAAAATTCTTTTGTAGCCTTAATAAACCTTATTGAGCGAGCCGAGCCGAATTCGGCGCATTAACCAAACGATCTTTAAATAAATTCGAGCTCGGCTCATTTAATTTAACACCACTCAGTCATGATTCATGAATTAGACCATTCCATACAATGAATGGGAATATACATGAAACTTAAGACAGAACATTTTTGGACTAAATTAGCTGAATTAAGGGAAAGTATATGGTACATTTGTGTTTTCAAATTAAACATTAGTGAAATTGTCGTGCAAGTAATGTGTTACATGCTCGATCAAGTTTTGCATAGATAAAAAATTGAATTTTGAATGTTTTGCCTCAGGCCAAGTTTTAAATATCTCTAGATTAAAAATAAATTCACATAATGGTGCAGTTGATATATATATATATATA